GAGGCAGAGCAAGCCAACGTCCATGAGGCCTTTAAATTGGATTCTAATTTTTAACTTTTAAGAACCCTTGAAAACAAGGATCAGCTAGCAACACCCCTGTTCCATGGTTCATTGCTATGCTGAACAATTAGAATTCATATCCATCCAAAGCTTTCATCAAAGAAGTATACCAGCAGGAAGGAGGACAAGAAATCAGGCATCGCAATTTGATGCTGAAATTGCAAATCTTGCTTCATGCACTGTTCATTCAACTTTTCAAGACTATTAACAATAAGAAATATTAATTCAAAGAAGCATTTCAGATGGTCATGAAAATCAACAATGTGATATGATATTATGATATATACCAATCTTCAACCCAAGCAGTACTAAAGGTGCAAGTAATTTGCCTTTTTACTTCTCCCTTCTTGGGCAGTAAATCAAATTGTGCAAGAATAAACATGCACAGTTAAATTCTAGGAAGGTTTACCAGAAAGGCCTCTTTATGTTGGTTCAACAGTCATTTTTTTTCCCGCAGCAACCAAGTCAAGAATATGATTTTACAGAAAGTGCATTCTGTTTCTTTATCATCTTGATGGAGATGACTGTGTTTAGATGATACCAGATATGCATCAGAAACAAAAACGAAAAGAAAGCAAGCGGCTATTTTCATGGATAATTCAACAATGACCAATAAGGTTTGACTGAAAAATGGCAATGCAAAACTAAACAACCATCACATATTGATCATAACAACCTATGCAATACACGCATAAAATACAGTTTGTAAAACACAACTCCTTCAAAGGTGTCTGAATATCACCATCAAATGTGGGTACCATGAGTTCAAGTGTCTGTTGCTCTATTATTTTAAAGACCTCTACCAATAATTTTGGCTTTTTTTTATGCTAATCTTTATCAATAATGGAACAGAAGCCATTCCATAAGGCCACACTCGCCAGTCTTGCTTTAATCCTGCAAGTAAAATATTTGCATACTGAGTTACATTCACATAAAATGGAACAGCCTGAAAAATAAAATGGAGTCCATACTCAATCGAATGTGATACTCATTAATCTGTTTTAACATTATGTTTTATCTACCAAAAAGGATGCATGGCGTTGCATGCCCTTCATGACTTGGATCTAAGGGGTTATGAGGGTGTGAGTCAGTCTTCTTAATTGTTCCAGAATACCTGGATGTGTATTGCTTTGAGAACAAAGAGAACAAGTAAGGAAAATGAATTGCATACATAATTGCATGCAAAGAAAGTCATAGTTGAAGATGCAAATGCACTTACAAACAAATTTGTTATGTTAATTGTGACTGTCAAACTACAGAACTAAAAATAAAGAAGATTTAGCTCTCCCTGATTTGTTGTCCAACAAAGAAATAAGAAAGAAGATTTTCAGCATGCCATTGAGAAACAAGCCAACAACAATGAAACCACATTCTGGATGAGGATGAAAAATTAAGTTTATCAAGAAAGAAAAAGAATTAATGTACCTCATCATCATCGTCATCACCACCATCTTCCTGGTTCTTCTTGAGCCGGGTTTTACCACCCTCCTTGTTGATAGGTAATTTCATAGGTCCAAAAGGTGTGTCTACATGTATATGGCCTTTCATAGAGTAACCAGTTCCTTTTCCCCTAATCATGTCCCAAAGTGCAGAGCCAAAATCCTTAGGCCTGAAAGTGATAGGAATCTCTATACGACTGATTCCGTTTTTGTCAATTTTTGTGGATTTTTCAAGTTCTGCAACACCAATGCTTACTTCAGATAGCCAGACCTCATAGTCTAGCCCATTGAGTCCCAATTCAAAGTCATTCTTATTTTCCAATTTAAGATGAAGAACTGCAACAGTTTCTTCCCAAGAGAATCTCTCAAAGTGTATCTTCTCAACATCAATATCAGGCTTGTAAGGAATGGGGATTTCTCCAGTTTTTTGAAGAGGTAAAGTTATCCTTCCAAAAACAGGCACGTCAACAATGAGATCAACCTTGATCCTATAAGGAATAATGCTCCCAGGCTTAATATCATCATATGTGTTCTTGATGTCATCATATATTAAAGTAACTGGTATCTTTACAGTCTCCTCCCCATGAGCATGAATGGTTCCAGCATCTGGAATCAAACCCGAGAGCAGTTTCCTTCCATCACTCTCAATCAAGTAGTTTATGTCAATCAGAGGAATCGGTATAGGATTTGGGTTCTTTATCATAACATCAACAACAATATCTGCTTTCTTCAGATTAATAGAAGGGATATGGATCCCAGTGACATCTGCAGTTGGCTTCCCAAACCCAATAGCTTCCTCAATCTTCTCACCAATGTCATGTATGAAATCCTTCACCTTTTCTATAAACCCACCCTTCCCATCCTCTTTGTCATCCTCCCTGTGCTCTTTATCCTTAACACCCCTTTCAACTACTTCAGGCTTATCAGATGAACCCATATATGCCTTAAGAACAAATTAATGATTCCAAATATTAAAACATGCCCATTACAGATCTGAAGTAGTAGAAATCAAGGTTCCCAAAACAACAAATTTCACCCATGAAGAGCAATAAAATGACAACTTTTTTCAATCAAACATATGCAGAAACACTAAGGAAACATCTAGTTTACATGATATCAGGATTGAAATGAATCCAACATATCTGCAATCCTTAATATTACATTAAGAGATTACAATTTGGAGATCAACAGAGATATATCTTAATGAATGTTAACAAGAGATCGAGTAAACAAAACTGAGCATGCATCCAAATCAATGATACAGTAAATTCATTAAAAAAATGAAAAAAGAAAAGAAAAGAAAATCAAATTGAGCAAACAAGAATCTGAAAAAGATTAGACCCAAGAAGCAGAAAAGCAAAATGCTGATGAGATGAAAACTACTTACCTGAAAAAATCCAAAGGTGCGAGCTTGGAAGTTTGATCTAATCTGTGGTTAAGAGCGGTATAGAGTAGGAGAGCAGTGCCTTAATGAACAGATTAAGGCGTAAAAATTAAAAAGATTAATTTTATTTTTACTTTTTTTTTTTTTACTAATCTACCTGTATCAGTTAATCACATTGAGTTTTGATTAATTTATCTATATCCAGTAATCAAATTAGGTTCCAATTAATTCAAAATTGAATTTTATTTTTTCTTGTAACACTAATATCTAATGTCAATGTTTTTTATTAGATACAGAAATAACATAGTTTGTTATAAACTTATCATCATTACTTGTTATTGTATGATTAATTTTTTAATTTAGAGATTTAATTATAATATTTAATTATTTAATAAATCAATTTTATTATAATTACAACATTAGCTATTAAACTGTTCATATAAGATTAAAGTCAATTTTATTTTTCTGTATAACAATTAATTAAAAATATATAATTAATGTACCTTAATTTTTTATTTGGCAATTAATGTTAATAATATTATTATCCCAATCACTTAGAAAAGATGCGGGATCCTTTCCTTATTAGAATACACGGCTTGTGGGCGCCACTATTCACCGTCCCCACGGGACAACGGATTAATGAGAGGGGCTTAATTGAGTCCCGTGAGAAGTTCACGGACTAAAAGAGAGGTTTTACCAAACATGAAATGCAAATCAGAAAATGCAATTTTTTTTAAAGAAAAAACATTTAAAGTGTATTAACCATTAGGGGGAGAAAAAATTTTGCATAGGAACTAGCTTTAAACCAAGACAATTTAAGATTTGAGTTTCGAATCTCAAGAGAATTTGAATTAATTGTTTAAATATACTATTGATAATTAATATCTGACAATTAATAATCATTATTAATTATAATATAAAATATTTAATTCATTCAATTAGAATCAATAACTAATAATTATTTACAAAATGTCAAAACAGACACCCTATCAAACTTCTAGTAAATGAACCATTAGATTACATCTAGTTTATAGAAATTAATATTTTAAGTAAAGAAGTAAATATCAAGACAGCCTTTGCCTATAAAATTATTTAATTATCTTTATTAAATCTTTTCATATTATTCATAATATTTTAATTGTTAAAACATCTTAATTTTATACCATTTTTTTCTCCATGATATGGATTTAGCTAAACTCCTGTTATTGAAGATCTTTTCATCAGCAAGAGTAGAAAGTGGCCTGCACAACATGCCGGTGACCTGAACTTGGGGTATATGTAACCAATCAATTTCACTGATGAATATCTCGAATAATCCACTGCTTAAAACAATATTATCCTTCTTTTCCACATTTATCAAAGCTCTTCACTTCTCGTTCCTCATAAAATTAATATTGCTGCCTCCTTCACCAAGGTGATCTTTGAGGATCTCCCTTAGGTAGTCTAGCTGCTCAAAACCCCCTTGAAGGTCCTCCCACTACAAAACATGAGATAAAAAGGAGAAAGGGAACCATGTCATCAGCATTTGAAGCAATGAGCAAAGCAGCGGGCAATATTAATAGAGAATAGTTCCAAACAACTCTATGCATCGTGCAAGGAATTGTTGGCATTCATGAACAAAATAATAAGCATTATTAAAAGGGATTCACCAGTCCTCGTGTTATTTACATCAAACATCCACTTCTAAGCATTAACATGCATATGAGACTGTAATAAAAGCCCCAAGTAGACTCTTCTTAACACACGTTTCAGTAAGCTGCAGGACACAGTTAGGCGCTTCTGCTTTCAATTTCAAGGTATTAAGAGTGAAATAATCCAATAATACAAGATGTTGAGACATACCTCTTGATTAGACAATGACACCACATTCCAACCAGCAGCAGAAATGTAACGGCGTTTCAGCATGGTATGCCCTAAAGGTACCCCTGTAGAGAGGCAGACGATTGTATAAGAAGTTAGTTAAAGCATTGATAGAGAAAGCGCTACAGGTCAGATGAGGGGAAATAATACATACCAGTGTTCCTTGAAAAATGAGTTGGCCCATCAATCTCCAAGGCAACCTTCTTATCAACCAAAACAGCATCAACAGTATACCCATCCACAGGATATTCTCTAATCCAATCAAGGCCAGTGCTAATAAGGAGACGGGCCACTTCCTTCTGAAAAGATGAGGTGATTTTCTGATTAAACCTCTTAGTTTTTCCTGCACAAGCAATTTTCTCCTCAAGGTCACCCTGGATAGATAGATGAAGATGTGGGTACTCGAGCTTTAAGCACTGATTCACCAGATTAACCTGTGAAGCAAACATGATATCCTCTCTATACTGCTCTGAAATCCTTTGCTCTTCAAATTTGCTCATAGTTTTCCACACATGATGGAAGAAAATGCGGTCTATCTGTCCAAGAACAGCATATGACCAAGCTAAATTCCCAAGCTGATCCCTGTTAAAACTGAGCACTGGAGAACTTGAATCTTTTTCCAAGTTAATATTTCTAATACATTTCACACTGCTCTCTTTATCCCAATCAAGCATTTCACGATTTGAACAGTACTTAAATTGATCCTCATCCTTGAAAACTTTATCCAGTGCTTCAAGCAAAGGGTCAGCAGCCTCATAAAGAGAAGCAAAAGCCCACAGCACCTGAGCAAGCTCCTGCTCTTGAAAAGTATGTATTACATCAGAAGCTCTTTTTGCTAGTTCAGAAAACAGATCAGAAGCAGAGTGCTGCATTGTTGCAAAAGCACCAGCAATGTTAGCAACATTCTGAGAATTGAACTCTCCAACCTTGGTCAAGGCCACCTCGGCAACTCTGTCCATTTCTGACAGATAAAGGAGCTCCCCTCCAATCTTGGAAAGTGCCCAAGCAATATTTGAAATGCCTTGAGCTGAGCATTCTGGTAATGCTGTCATTGCAATACTGACAAGCATAGACATCTCCCTCTGTCGGGCAAATGCCAACCTACGAGTTTTTGTCATGGAGACTTTCTCCATGTTCTTAGCAATTCTATGAAGTGATGTGGCAATGTTCAAAGGGGAAAGAGGGTTAGGATTCAATCCTTTTCCAACAGCCATGATCATCTCAGCAGCAACCTCCAGCACTTCTTCTGCAGTCTGTGCTTCAACAATAGCCTTGTTCAAGTTAATTTCTTTCCTTCGATCAGATGGCCCTGAGAATTGAGATAGCCTCCGAACAAACTCTTCCATTGTTTTCTCCTTTCTTTCCAAAAACATCCCACCTCCAATCATACTCACCTGCTCTCTAAGCTGACTGGTACCATCATCGACAGTGCCATCCAAATCTTCCAATTCAATATCTTCCTCTGAATCAAAATCCAAATCTGAATCCTCTTCCATTGTCGTGCTCTTCTTATTAACCTTATCTTTTTTGGCCAACTTTTGCTTGTTCTTCTTTTTCTTCTCCTTCACAATTACCAAATCTTCCATTTTTTGAGCCAATCCCCTAGCCTCAATGGATTTTAGTGCCATTTTCCTAGCCCTAAAACACCAATCCATCCCTTCAGTGTCTTCAAGCAACTTCGACTTCCCCTCCTTTTTTCTCTTCTTTGTTGGTTGAGACCCCATTGGGTCAATCTCCCCAAGAAACTCCAATTCCCAGTCTTCTCTTTTATAATCCTTAAAAACACTGCCAATACTAACACTATCGTCTTTACCCAAATCAACAAAATTTCTCACACGAAAACACAGCTCAAGTTTTCTCCTAGAAAACCCATTTCCTAATCTTACTAATGGAAGTTTATGAGCCGTTCTCGGATTGATAATGATGGGATTTAAGTAAGTTCGGCTAGGGAATGCATTCAATAGTACTTCCATGATTTTCCTCCTAGTTTCTACCTTACCATACAAATACAGAAGAAAAATTAAAAGGTTTTGATCGGACTATGAAATTCTACTCCTGAGGGGGAAAAATCAACAATCTTTGAGAAAAACAGAACATACCCAGGAAGGGGAAGCTGAACCAAGATGATGTAGTTTCGCAATAAAGATGTAGTTTTGCAATAAAGTGAACGCAGAGTCGCAGTGGAGCGGTGAGAGAGTTTTGAACTGAATAACGATTGTCTGGAATTGGATAAGAGAGGTAGAGAGCGAAGCATTTGGAGTAGGGGGACAAAAACGGTGTCGGCTCTTACTTTCTTTGTATTGCAGTTTGCCCCTTCTATGTTTTGGTCCTTTTGGATGGTAGGAAAGTACAGAGAAGAGACAGGGAGGATAAATTTTCATTAATTAATATGGATGCACTGTTTTACAGTCTGAAATAAGTTGGACTGTCAAACACTTTTTTTTTTTTTTTAAATAAGGATAATGGTTAAAAAATTAGTATTGTCAAATATTAATAACTGAGAATTTGATTCTCAAACTGAGTGAATAACCCATTTATCTCAATGAAGCGCACGACCATTAGGTAACTTGTTGGAATTTCACTTTTTCGAATTAACTTTACAAATTTAACCTCAATTCATGGCAAATGCATCACATAAGAACACTAACTTTCTCTCATTATTCAATTGAGGAAATCGTCCTTTATTGATAGCAATTAAGGATACCATCTAGAATAAAATCAGCATAAAGTAAAGATGACATGATTTCGAATATGCCTTTTGTATTTAGAATTTCCATATGTTTTTCTGGAGCTACGTAACCTTTTATTTTAGTTAACAATTAAAAGAATGAATTTAAAAATGAGAAAAAAAATGATTGATCTCATAAGATGCTGCCATGAGGGATCTCTGCACTCCTAAGAACAACCACAATTCCCCCACTAATGATGTAACCTTCTGCTTCCCTGTCTCCTTCTTGGACATTATCCCTGTTGATGATCTGCACAAAAAAATAGTTTTTGTCTGTAAGCAAAGAAAAAAACACTTGTGTTTAATGTTTCAGTTTCACAGTCTGTTGGAAAGTTTCACATACCATGACATTTCTCCCAATTCTAGCATTCTTATCTATGATTGCTTTTCTTATTTGAGAATTTTCACCAATCCCAAGTGGGATCCCTCCTTTCTCTTCCACCCCTCGAATATCTTCTTCCTGTTCATCAGAGGATGAAGATGCATGATCAAAACGTTAATAAGTAATAAGTAGAAACAACTTGAGATTATAAAATTCATCTTACTTTATAGATATCATAACCCATGATTATTGAATCCTCTACTATCGCCCCGTCTCCAATTCTTGTCCTCATACCAACCACTGAGCCTTTGATCTTGCAACTCTATTCTTAGAAATGCAAATCAGATGATCTTATAAACAGATCAAAACAAGTTAAGAACTAAATGTAGCAATATATTATATATAGTCGGCTTAGTAGAGAAATGTTGATCTTGCTTACGTTGAGATTGCAACCATCTCCTATGACACTATCTGTCACCACAGCACCACTTATAAGAGTAGGAGGCAGGCATCGGGGCATGCTGTAGATTGGAGAATCTCTGTCGTAGAAGCTGCTATAATCAAAGAGTGGAGTTTGAATTTGTTGTTTCAAGGCTATTGTAGATGCAAAAATTACTAGAATGATGCAGTAGCATTATACTTTCAGCCTTTTCTGGTAAGTAAATTACTGACTTATATCCCATATATGATTTCTCTATGCACTCCATGTTTGCTTGATAAAATGCCTCAATGTTCCTGAAATCCTCCCAATATCCATCAAATAGATGTGCTTGAACCTGTCACATGACCAGGAAGGAAACCCTTAGTGCATAAATGTTTGAAACTAAAATGGAGATGGAAAGCTTCAAGGATGTGTTCATATGATTAGAAAAGTCTGACCTTCATTCCTGTTGATACCGCTCCTCGTATTACTTCACTTCCAAAGTCATTTGCCTTAGGGTAAACCTCATTGAGAAGCTTTTCCATTGTATCTTTGTTAATGAGGTAGATCCCCATGCTTGGATGAGTACTATAACTGTTATCAATTGACCTTCTTGAGTTTTGTACCTGGTTTTTCACATAGATTTTTCCTTGAAACCTTCATAAAAGTCTTGAAATCAAAGTTTTAGAAAAAAGTGAAAATGGCTTTGGACAAACTTACTTCTTTAAGTTGTATCGATTCTCTATCTGACTTCACACTAAACTCCATAACTTGATATTCTGAATTTACCTTCAGAAGACCAAAACCTGGATCATGATCTCTCATAGAACCTAATGCAACAATTGTTATATCAGATTTGCTGTTTCTGTGAGCCTGTATTAGCTTCTGGTAGTCCATTTTATATAGATGTTGGCCAGGAAGAACCAGAAACTCATTCACTGGGTACTCTTCCAGCAACCACAGGCACCTTCTTATAGCATCAGCAGTTCCCTAACATAAAATATTGAATAAAAACAAAGTTTCATTCACATTTGCAAAATTCTAATTTCTTCTATGTGGCATACAATTATCTTATCTTAATGGAGAAGTATGTATAGTATCAGCAGTTCCCTAACATAGAAATATTGAAACAAAACATAGTTTCATTCACATTGCAAAATTCTAGCTTCTTCTATATAGCATCCAATTAGCTTATCTCAATATGCAGAAGTATATAATCCTGTCATACCTGAAACCAGCTCTGATGCTCAGGGGTCTGATATGCTGCAATCACCTCAACAAATCCGTCTTTTCCCAGTCTAGCTCCAGAATAAGTTCTTGAGACGTGTGAATTAAGAGAAGTAGAATTGACTTGTGTGAGAGCATATATCTTGTTAATGTTACTGTTAATGCAATTGCTCACAACTGCATCAATGAGTCTGTAGTTTGCTGCTATAGGGATGGCTGCTTCTGATCTTCTCTTTGTCAATGGATAAAGCCGCGACTCTGATCCATCTCCAAACACTATTGCTGCAACACTCTGCCATCAAATGAAATGTCATGCACAGTTCATAAACCAGAATAATGTAAGAGAAGATTGGCGTTGGAGAAAATATACCTGATTTACTGGAGGATAAAGAAAAATGGGATGCTGAGATTGCTGTGAATTGGTTAGGGACAAGCTTGGATATGCAGAAGGAAGTTTTGGTGAACAATTATAATGATTCTGAGGCAATCCATGAACAGGCAGATTAGCCTTGATACTTAAAGTGTTGGCACCTAAAGTATGCAATTTCACCATGACAAAAGAGCTTGAAATTTCCAACTTCTCTATTTTGTATTCAATCCCTTCATTCTTCTCTACATTTGTGGTTTAATAGAGAGGAGGAAAGGAGAATATTTTGCTTTCTTCTTCATCGCGACTACGGGAACTGCAGATTGATATTGCTTTTGCATGTCTAGCTGTTTTGAGTCAGATTGTACTCTTCAATGAAAGTATGCATCATTTTGTACCATTTTTCTAGTTTTAAGATACGCATGGAATACAATCAGAAGTCTTTTGTTTTACTATTTTAAACTTTGATTCTAAGTTTCTTATAGCTTTATTCTCTGGTGCGATATGACATTGTTAACTTTTCTTGTTAAGAATTTAAGGGAACCATGGGCAACCCATCCATGTACTTCATTATTAATATTCAATACTAAGAATTGCTTCTTCAATATAAAGAGCGGCTGTTGAATGACCAGACGACCCTCTTGTTCTCCCAAATAGGGTGGGATTGGCTACCGCCTTTTTTGGATTTAATTAAATCGATTTCTGACCAAATGAACTTTGCATTTTTGAGGCAATGTTCCTTAAAAATTGTAGTGTAGATCATATTTTAGCGATTAAGAATTTAAATTATTTAAAAGTGAAAATAGGAAAATTTTGTTATATTAAGTAATATGTATATGAAACTAATAACAAATTAACAGTTCAAATAATCAAATAAATAAAATAAATGAACAAATAAATCTGTTTCTACAATGAGTCAATGAGAGGACAGCATAGTAATTTAAACAAAAGAAAGAAGCTTGAGGACTTGTGAAATGCCTGGGCATATTGGAATGAAGTAGTTATCAAGGTAGGCATTATCCATTGTCTCGGCTTTCCATGCCTTCGAAATTTTATTGCCAGTTTGCCATATATTCTCTTTATATATTCTCTTGATGACAACTGCTCTAGTAACAATGAAACTGCTTTACTTTAAAACAGGTGTTAATCGATGCAAAACACACTTTGATTAAATAAAGGTTCCCAGATTCTTGATTTTGAGTTGCAAGAATTAGTCTAATAAGTTTTACTTCAAATAAAACACTACAATTATAGCATATAGTATACTCTCTTACGGTGTTTGGGCAGTTCAGCACCATTGCAACTGTAGAGGCAGCAGGGAGATAACAAATTGCTGATTATGGTTTAGGGAGACCACGCTGCCATTTTGCAATTGTTCCAAGAGGAAATTTACTGGATGCTTAAGGATGAAAATCACAACAGAAATTGCAACTATTTGATCCAATTATCAAGAAGGTAAGATTGCCACTTATTTTAGATGGTGCTCGAACAAAGATGCCATCTCAATCTGCATTATAGACCAAATTAAACAGTTAAAGAATTGAATGATATAAGAGCTAGAATCTAAAGCTATATTTTATTCCTCACGTGAATGCCTCGTCCTAAGCAGTGCACAACCACGAAGAGAGGAGACAAAGAGTATTTTTCAAACAAGTATAAAGAGAAAGGCATACTGACCACAAATGGTTTAAAGTTAAGTATTGGTTGTATCAACTTACAGCAGTCAAAGCACCTTCAGCATCCTTGTTTCCAGATTCACCACCAGCTCTATTTAATGCCTGCAATTGTCACAGCAAGGACAAGAGTCATATATAACATTGCACTTTCGTACACCATAGGGCAACTACATTCGACCACAAGAGGTCTATACGAAACTGTGGCAAGACTCCAGTATTATTTCATAGATGCAATGACAATGCCTGGATTATAATTTTACCTGCTCCATGTCATCACAGGTCAAAACACCAACTATGCAAGGAACACCTACATAGTTGATAAGTTATGGATTCAAAAGAGGAAACCAAATTTTGACAACAAAAGAAAGCAAACCAAATCACAGAGTGATATGAGTGTTTTGTATCAGAATGATGAAATAAAAGATCTGTGCAATAATTTGCTATTACACAACAATTTCCTTATTAACATTGCAGAGAGAGAGAAACTAATTCAAAGAACAATTGTTAAACATGAATTCCAACCTGACTTTAACCCAGCAAAAAGCACCCCAGATGCTGCAGAATTAGCAACATCATCATAGTGAGTTGTATCACCTCTTATCTATTTACAATAAAAGGGTCAAAGATTATGGCAGACCAGCAAGCAAGCATATAGTTACCAGAGGAATAGAAAGTATCTCACAGTGACCAGATTCAAAACTTATATGACAAAACTTCAACAGGAATTGCAAGAGAAATCATACCACAGCCCCAATGCATAATATTGCATGATACTTTCCAGACTTCCCGAGCTTTTCTGCAACAATACCAATTTCAAAACTACCAGGAACCCAGACAACCTGATGAAGAGAACCAAGAAAATGATCTCAAAATCTCAAAAATTAAGATTCAGCAGTTGGCCACAATTATGTGTTACTATGTCGATGCACACAGTAGTAACCTCAAAATTAGCAAACAAACTCATATACATACTTCGTAACCATTATAACACTATTAGAAAAGGTTAAACAGGGTAGTTTCGCATATCAATGTCTTCTTCTCTGACTAAGTGCTTCTTGAAGGTGTCTACAGCTCCCCTCCAAGAGCTGCTTTGTCACAATCTCATTGAACCGTGCCTCAACCTTCATCAAAATTCCAATAAATTCTCATACTTAAAGCCAACTGGTATGCCATAATTTACGTATAAAAATCAGAAATAAGCACAACTTATCAATCCACAACAACAACCAACTTCTACAAGAAATGCATCAATTCACAGCAGTTAACAACACAACTGACCAATTCAAAAATGTCAAAAGGCCAATTTAACTGTGGCAAAGTAGATTTCTGAAATCGAATGCAAAAGATTTCAGAAAAGGAAGTGAAATTGCATAAACAGCTAGGGAAGACTAGCCAAGGCGAATCGAAGGCCTTCGGTCCTGGTAACGGACCCGACCAAAAGGCGAACGGCAGCCGTTCGCAGAAACGACGACCGACCCTTCCTCTCCGTCACAATTTGAGCACGGAACCCCAGAACTCAGACATCAAAAGTTAAATTAAATGCCGAAAAGCGCAAAGATAACATGGAAATTGAGGAAACGGACCTTGAATAGAAGATTGAAAAGAGAGATGCGTGGCATTTGGCGGTAAAATGTTCCGGTGAGAAGTGACGGCTAGACGAGAAATGAAACGCTCTTGAATCGAAGAAGCAATGGGCGCCATCTTCGTCTGCAAGGATGAGCTGAGTTTGCAGCGGCCGGGAGGTTAGCTGATTTAAAAACCAGGACCTAACAGTCTATTACGAAAATATGGAAGGATCAAATTGTACAAATCAAAAGGTGTTTTTGTT